GGGGACTACGGGCAGCCTAGCTGAAGAAACAAAAAAGGCAGGAGTATTTCCTGAAACCAGGGACCAGCTTTGCCCAACAGAAGCTGGAACCACAGAGACACTTGTCTGGCCAGAGCTGAAGCCATGAAATAGATGCAGCTGCTGCTAGAGTTGCTACTTGCGGCAGAGAATAGAGGAGGGATGCCTGGGCTTCTCCCCTTCTTCTATTCACCAGTCTCTTGCCAGGACCTCCCACTGCCTGCACTCAGCGGGAAGCCAGCTGACATGGGAACCTTGGGACATGCTGATTTCAGCCCACTGCAGTACAATACAGCAGGGAAGAGCAAGGGAAAATCTTAAGGCGAACGGGACAGGGTGGACTGGCATGCAGTGAAACTTCAGAGACATTTCCATAAAATCAGGATCAAGCTAAATATGCTCTCTCACATATGTACATACATGTTGGTTTCTGAGACAGGGTCTCCCTCTGTCACCCAGGCAGGAGTTCAGTGGCACACTTACAGCTCACTGCAGCCTTCACCTTCTGGGTTCAAGCAAGGTCCCCACCTCAGCCTCCCTAGTACCTAGGACTACAGGCATGCACCACCATGTCCGGCTAATTTTTTTGCATTTGTTTTGCCATGTTACCCAGGCTGGTCTCAAACTCCTGGGCTCAAGTGAACTGCCCGCCTCGGCCTCCCAAAGTGCTGGGATTACAGACATAAACCACCACACCAGGCTACTATTTAATATATTAGAGGTCAAGAATAGGGCAGAAACAAAAATAACTGTTATAACCTTTGGAAAGGAGGAGGCAAAACTATCATTATATACAAAAATATGACTGGAAACTCAAAATAGAGTTTAATAAGATGGCTTAATATAAGAAAAATAAATAGATATCAATACTTTACAATATAATAGCATTTAATTATTAGAAAATATATTGGAAACCTCTTCCATTCAAGATAACAACAAAAACTATAACGCACTTAAGAATAACTGTTACAAAGAAAGGAGAGGATACGAAGAAAACTACAAAACCTCGTTGAGAGACGTAAATGATATAAACAAAATGTAAAAACCCACCATGTTCAGGCCAGGCGCAGTGCTCATACCTGTAATCCTAGCACTTAGGGAGGGATTGGTAAGAAATTAGACCTGTAAGTGACTACAATTACGATTACGATTAGTAAGAAATTAGATAATGATTTATAAGAAATTAGACCTGTAAGTGACCACAATTCCTCAAGATCTGGAAAAGTGATGAGTAAATGGCAGCCTCCCAGCCAGGTTTTGACCCAAGTGAGTGCACCGTGAGGCCCTCAGCCTATGCAATGCCTCAGTGTTTTCCAATCATTGAATTCCAGGCTGAGGAGGCATGGATGCATGGACAGCACCCCATTCTGCTTCCAACCTGACTCCTCCTGAGACTGGATCCTGAAAGTCCTAATCACCTGCTACACCATCTCCTACAGACTGAATTGTGGTCCCTGAAAATTCATATATTGAAGCACTAATGCCCAGTGTGATGGCATTTGGAGACAGAGTCTTTGGAGGTAATTGGATTTAGATGAGGTCATGAAGGTGGGGCCCTCATGATGGGATTAGTGCCCTTATAAGAAGAGGAAGAGACACCAGAGTTCTCTCTATGCTGCATAAAGACACAGTGAGAAGGCAGCTGTCTACAAGCCAGTGAGAGAGCCCACACCAGAAACTGACCATGCTGGCACCCTGATCTCAGACTCCCAGAACTGTGAGAAATACCTTCTGTCATTTACACCACCTGGACTATGGTATTTGGTATAGCAGACTGAGTAAACTATGGCATCATTGCCCCCATAGCAACACAAGGAGACACAAGTCTGAACTTGTGTTCTCGCCAATATCCTGCCCAATCAAATGACATTTTCACATGTTGCAGCACATGGTATTGACAGTTCTAGAGTAGGGTAACTCTCAATTCCCCTTCTAGATATCTCGTGTTTTGGGGGTGGGGGGAGGATTTTCTACATATTACCAGGACTTCATTGTCTCCTTTTCTTTTTTTGCTCCCCTACCTTGACAGCCATGGTTGCTGACCTCAATCATTCATTTTATACTTACTAGGTGCAGGTACTATTCTAGGTTCCTGAAAGACATCCATGAATAGCAAACAAAGATTCTTGCCCTCCTGGAGCTTATACTCTACTAGTAGAGAACAGGTAAATACTAACTTAATTTAAAAAAAAAAAAAATTTTTTTTGAGACAGAATCTCTGTTGCCCAGGCTGGAGTGCAGTGGTGTAAGTAATCCCGGCTCACTGTCACCTCCACTTCCCGGGTTCAAGCAATTCTCCTGCCTCAGCCTTCTGAGTAGCTAGGATTACAGGCATGTGCCACAATGCCCGGCTAATTTTTGAATTTTTATTAGAGATGGGGTTTCATCATGTTGGTCAGGTTGGTCTCGAACTCTTGATCACCTCAGGTGATCTTCCCACCTTAGCCTCCCAAAAAGCCAGATTACAGGTGTGACCTACTGCACCCGGCCATATTTTAAAAGATGATAAATGCTGTAGGAAAAACAATAGAGCACAATGTAGGTGTTATGGACTGAATGTTGTGTCCCACTGAAGTTCCTATGTTGATGCCCTAATCACCAGTGTGGCTATATTTGGAGACAGGGTCTTCAGGAGGCAATTAAGGTTAGGTGGGTACAGCCCTGACCTGATAGAACTGGTGACCTTATAAGGAAAGGAAGAGATTTCTCTCTCTTTTTTTCTTTCTCAACATGAGCACGGAGAAAGACCATGTGAGGACACAGTGAGAAGGAGGCCATCTGCAAAGAGATATGACAAAGGCCAGGAAGACACACCTTAGCAGAAACTAAACCCACTAGCACCTTGATCTGGGACTTCCAGCCTCCAGAAATGTAAGAAAACAAATAACTGTTTAAACCATTCAGTCCACAGTGTCCAAATAAAAATCATCAAAGCAAAGCAAAAGGGAAGTCATCTCAGAGAAAAAGACAAAGGGGGAATCATCTCAGAAAAGAGAAAATTGTACAGCCCTTGGAGGGTACATGAGAATTTTGTGGTGGACAGCCTTATTGACCTACGCTCTCTCACACACACACAGACACATGCACTCACCCACAAACACACCCTGGCTCACTACAAAATGGCCACATTAGCCCAGCCAATCCCAGACTCCATCGGCAGTGGAGGTCATTCCTACCAAGGGGAACCTTGAGTGTGAGGATTTCCATTCCTCTACCACTTCCTGAAGATGCTGGCCTTACGAGGAAGCGCCGCACTCTGGAAAAGAAATTACTTGTCCCGGCATGGTAGTGCATACCTGTAATCCCAGCACTTTGGGAGGCCAAGGCGGGCAGATCAAAAGTCAAGAGATCTAGACCATCCTGGCCAACATGTTGAAACCCTGTCTCTACTAAAAATACAAAAATTAGCTGGACGTGGTGGTGCATACCTGTAGTCCTAGCTACTTGGGAGGCTGAGGCTGGAGAATCGGTTGAACGCGGGAGGCAGAGGTTGCAGTGAGCCAGGATTGTACCACTGTACTCCAGCCTAGCAACAGAGCAAGACTCTGTCTCAAAAAAAAAAAAAAGAAAGAAAGAAAAAAGAAATTACTTGTCAACAAAGGCATGTGCAAGCCTCAGAGGCACAGCCAAGGGCATTGCATTACAGGATGCTCACATGGCTACAGCCTGCAACAGCTGACACAGGCACGAAAAACAGCTCATTCATAACAAACCAGAGGCTGGCTGAGTCAGTCATAAGATCGTCATTCGATAGCATGACAAGCAGCCATAAAATTAACGTCTTGGTGTTACATTTAAGAATGTAGTGAAACACTCTACAGATACTGCTAAGTGCAAAAAATAGGATGTCAAACTGTGAGTAAAATCTGATCCAAATTTTGTAAAGAAAAATAAATGACAAGGAAATATACCACAATGTTAGGATTATTTCTGGGTTATTCTCTCTTTAAGGGTTTTTGCATTTTCTAGATTTTCTATAATTAACATGTATTACCATCTGAAAATAATGGCCATATTAAGATAATAAAGGTACTCACATTTAAAGGCTTACATGTATGATTAATTCTCCATGTAGCCAGCCTTCCCGAAATTCCTACTGAACAAATTCATTCAAAAGCACAAAATCTATAAAAGAGCCATTGACATCCAAAATTAAAAGGACTCTCCTTAGAGATAATTCTGCTTCTAAGTGCTTTGAATTATATATTTTTTGCCTTACTCTTTTTGACAGTGAAGAGTCTTTTCAGGAGAAAAAAAATTATGATTTTTCCAAGGTTCTCTGTTCATTGCTTTCAATTTTCCATCCTTTTTGACATTTGTGAGGCAAAGGCCATCTCCTCCCTCAGCTGGTCATTATGTTTCGGTCTGATGGGCGTCTGCTGTAAAGAAGCACAGGTATGGCACAGGACTTTACGTGACTTTGCCAAGTTTACAAGGCCAGCTATAGAGGGACCTGACAGGGTGGAGCTGAAATCAGAACAAGCCGGGGCAGTGGAGAGGGTAAGTCACCATTCCTGAACTAGTGGAATCACAGACAGAATCAAGAAGTAAAATAATGGGACCTCAAACATCCACATGAGGAAAGAAAAAAGGCCCGAGAGGAAGCAGGAATTATGAACAGAAGGCAAGATTCTGGACCAGTGAAAGGACAGCCCTGCAAAGAAAACCAGAATCCCTTGAACTGGCTCAGACACCTGAAAGATAGAGGTCAGAAGAAAAGCAATGACTCAGCTATTAGGGAGGCTGAGGCAGGAGAATCGCTTGAACCCAGGAGACAGAGATTACAGTGAGCTGAGATCCCACCACTGCATTCCAGCCTGGGTGACAGAGTGAGATTCCATCTTAAAAAAAAAAAAAAAAAAAAGTTATGAGCATCCAGCTCCCATTTGTAGTAACTGTTTTTTCACAACAGTCCTATAACTGCTATTATCTTCATTTATCAGATGAAGAGAGTTAGACAGCGGTTTGCCCAAATTTATCCAACTGGTGAACAGTGGGGCAGGGATTTAAAAATCTAGATGTAGCTAACTACAGATCTCACTCTCTGTGCACAATGACTGTTTCAATTAACAATAATCGCGCCTTGGATAAACCTCATTGGCTGTGATACTGCCACTGCACAAAGCTTATGAATCTGTTACAGGCTACGGAACCAGGCAACAGTGGAAAGGAGGGTGACTCCTTAGAGTCAGAGATGAAGAAGGCATGGTACGATTGTGGCTATATTATCCATCGTGGGCAACCAATGAGCCCCAGGAGGAAATCATTCGACGTAACACGCGATGACTGTTGAAGGATGATGATGATGAGTCTGTCTGAAGTCTTCCCTCTTTGTCTTTGATTTTCTGCAGTTTGAATACAATACGGCTACATGTAGACATTTTTATATTTATCCTGCTTGGTGTTCTCTGAGCTTCCTAGATCTGTGATTTGATGTTTCGGAAAGTTCTCAGTCATTATGACTTCAAATAATATTTTTATTCCTTTCCCTCCTCTCCTTCTGAAAGTCTCATTTTGCATACATTACATCTTTTGTAATTGTCCTACAGTTCTTGGGACATTAAGTTCCAAGTTTTTATTATAAATATTATTATCGGGCCGGGTGCAGTGGCTCATGCCTATAATCCCAGCACTTTCAGAGGCCGAGGCGGGCGGATCACAAGGTCAAGAAATCAAGACCATCCTGGCCAACATGGTGAAACCCTGTCTCTACTAAAAAAAAAAACAAAAATTAGCTGGGTGTGGTGGCATGCACCTGTAATCCCAGCTACTCGGGAGGCTGAGGCAGAAGAATCACTTGAACCCAGGAGGCGGAGGTTGCAGTGAGCTGAGATCATGCCACAGCACTCCAGCCTGGGTGACAGAGCGAGACTCCATCTCAAATATAAATAAATAAACATTATCATTTTCCTTATAAACATTATTCTAAATAGTGCTATTATGAACATCCTTTTGCTGTATCTTTACATACATCCCTGATTTGTCCTTAAAATAAAGTTTTGTCAGAGAATTGATGGATGAAGACTTCAGATCTGTTCCACAGGGGCTTCTGAAGCTAGGGCTTTCAGTTCTTATGTTAGGACTCATTATCTTACAGTCTGCTGTTCATTTTAGTGCTGTGCTAAAACTGCAGAAGAGATTACTGATATCTTTGTCATGCAAGCCTTGGGACCTGTGATGGTTAACATTAAGTTTCAACTTAATTGACTTAAAAGATGCAAAGTATTGTTTCTGGGTGTGTCTGTGAGGGTGTTGCCAGAGGGGATTAGCATTTGAGTCAGTGGACTGGGAGAGGCAGATCCACCCTCAATGTGGGTGGGCACCATCCAATCGGCTGCCAACGTGGCTAGAAAAAACAGGCAGAAGAAGGTAGGATACACTGGCTTGCTGAATCATCTGGCCTTCATCTTTCTCCTGTGCTGGATGCTTCCTGCCCTCAAACATCACACTCCTTTTGGACTCTTGGATTTATACCAGCAGTGTGCCAAGGGCTCTTGGGCCTTCAGCCACAGACAGAAGGCTGCACCATTGGCTTCCCTATTTTTGAGGTTTTAGGACTTGGACTGAGCCACTACTGGCTTCCTTGCTCCTCAGTTTGCAGACGACCTATCATGGAACTTCACCGTGTGATCCTCTGAGTCGATTCTCCTTAATAAACGCCCTTTCATATATACATACATCCATTAGTTCCATCCCTCTGGAGAACCCTGACTAACACAAGACCCCCACAAGGTACCCATGAATAGCAGACAACTGCAAAATCGTTTTATTCCTCTTTCCAATGAGCCAACTCCTACTCCAACTACATCCCGCCCGTCAGCAAGAAGTTAAAGCAATCGTTAGCCTTTTCCCATCTCTGTAGCTAACAGCTCAAGAATGAGGTACGGTCAAGCTCAAAGAGGAGATGGAAATTGTCTTTACAAAAATTATAAAGGTGAGGGAAATCTGACATACCTGACTCCATCTTGCTTCTAGCCTCTCAAACTAACCATCTTTGCTCTTTCCTGGGCATAGGCCAAGCTAACTATGGGAGAAATTTAGTTTATAGTTTAACCTTAAAGCAAGGATAATAATGGCCCCTGCTTGTTCAAGGATAGAATTCCCTTTGTAAAACTAATGACAGGCCATAAGGTTAGAATTATGGTAGGGGCCTGAATTCTGCTAAGACCCATGCATAAATGATAACTAGTCATTGTTTACTGCTCAGGACACACACGGCATGGGCACCAAATTTGTAAGTTCCCTAATCGCCCCTATAGACAATGTTCCTATTGTAAAACCTAAGACTGGCGGTTGAGGTGTTTTTCAGACTTTGCATTCTAGGAGAATAACTAACACCTCCCAGACTGATAACCCTCACCCAGGAACTGACTCACTGCACAAAGACAGTTTTGACAGCCCTATGCTTCCATCCTCAGTCCAACCAATCAGCATTCTCCATTCCCTATCCCCCTGCCTATCAAACTATCCTTAAGAAACCCTAGCTTTCAAACTATCTGAGAGATCGATTTGAGAATTAACTCCCATCCTTCCACTTGGCCAGCCCTGTAATTATTAAACTATTTCTATGAAGAAAAAAAAAATGTATATATATATATATATATATATATATATATATATGTATATGGATGAAATAAATGACATGCAGAATACTAAGGCTCTTCAAACCTGTACTAATAAATTTCATACCAAAAAAAGTTTATAGCAATTTCCATTTCCATAGAAGATTGTGAGCATTCTTGGTCCTTCACAGCTTCCTTTGTAGGACTCACCTATCCGGAGTAAAATATATTTTAAGAACTTCCAGAGATCTTCATGAATCCCTAATTATTAGTTACCTTTGCAGCATATAATTATTTCCTAAATCAGCAATGTCCACTGACACTGTGGACAATGTCTCACCTATCCTGAGTAAAATATCTTTTTAATCTACACCACCTTGATCACTGGGGGGTGGAATCATATAAAGTATTAAACATATCAGATGTTTAATACTAAATGCTAAATATACCTATTTCCCATTTCTTCAGAAAGCGTGCTAAATATACCTGTTTCTCATTTCTTCAGAAAGCATGTAGGTGAACTCTTCATCACAAAGAAAAAGTGTTTCTGAAAATGTGTCTATAGAGTAGAGGGGATATGTCTTAATCAGAAAAAATAAAAGAACGCTTATTAGTTAGTTTAAGCAGAAAAGGGATTTATTAAAGGGTATTAATAGCTCATAAAATCATTTGGAAAGCTGGAGCAACAGTCTCAAGGCTCAGCTTCAGTGCCACAGAACTGGCCTTGTGAGTCAACTTTTGCTGCCAGCAGTGACCAAAGGCCAGCTGAAATTCCTGATTTAGAAGAACTGATGTGGGAGTGGTTGACGGAAAGCCAGAATTCAGCTCAACTCAGCTTTGTCTCAGAAGTGGTACATTTACTGTCTCTTCCATTGACCCAAGTAAGTGACATGGCCAAGTCTGAAAATGGAATGGTTCTCCACCTATGCGGCGGCACGAGCAGGCACAGGTGACAGGCAGGGCTGTGTAATCCTCTTACAGGGACAGGAGCAAATACTCAGGAAAAGTAATATAATCTACCTATTACCAATCTACCAACTACTAGTAACCAGCCATTAGCTGGGGGAAAATATTATATATATGGAGAGGGAGGGAGAAAGAGTATTCCTCTGTCACCCAGGCCGGAGTACAATGGCACGTTAGCTCACTGCAACCTTCCCCTCCTGAATTCAAGGGATTCTCCAGCCTCAGCCTCCTGAGTAGCTGGGATTACAGGCATGCACCACCATGCCCAGCTAATTTTTGTATTTTTAGTAGAGACAGGGTTTTGCCATGCTGCCCAGGCTGGTCTTGAACTCCTAACCTCAAGTGATCCATCCACCTCAGGCTCCCAAAGTGCTGGGATTACAGATGTGAGCCACTGTGCCCAGCCAGGACAAAATATTTAACTTGCCTCTTTCCTTGACTTCCTCAAATATAAAAGTATCTTCAAGTACTCTTCTTGCTCTGAAATTCTAGAATTTTAAGTAAAATTTTACACATTAAGTCAAATAGTTAACTCACTAGGGTGAATATTAATAGGAAATATAAAGAAAGCTTTGTTTAAAGTGAAAAATAATTTTACATGCAAATACTCCTCAAATAGACATTTCATAAATCTTACTTCTCAAATACCAGCTTCTCTTAAAGTAAAACTCATTTAAATGTCTCTGCTTTCACTGTATCAACAAGTACAAAAAATCTAAAATGTAAAGGTCAATAAACGGTGGACTTTAGGGAAAGATTAAATTTCTTTTAAAATAAACCAGGAGCTAGAACATTTCCAATATTTTTGTTTTGCTTTAGTGGGTACCAAATATAGTTAGGCTACAGGCTTATTCAAGAAGTTTGGATCTTAGCCATGAAGGCTTTTGAAAGAAAATTCTAGGCTGGGTGCAGTGGCTCATGCCTGTAATCCCAACACTTTGAGAGACCAAGGCAGGTGGGTTGCTTGAGCCCAGGAGCTGGAGACCAGCCTGAGCAACATGGCAAAATCTTGTCTCTACCCAAAAAATACGAAAAGTACCCAGGTGTGGTAGATCACATTGTAGTCCCAGTTACTCAAGAGGCTGAGATGGGAGAATTGCTTGAGCCCAGGAAGTGAGGCTGCAATGAGCTGAGATCATGCCACTGCACTCCAGCCTGGATGACAGAGCAAGACCCTGTCTCAGAAGGAAAGACGGGAAAGGGAAGGGAAAGGGAAGGGAAAGGGGGAGGGAGGGAGGGATTCTGTCTTGATGAAATGACAGAGAAAGGAAATAAATTGCAGTAGGACAAATTAACATAGTAAGGAAATATAGTTAATGTCTGGCATTGAGGATTTAGCACTGCAGAGTTAGTCTACTCTTTATTCTGAAGTCTACATCACATAGCAATAAAAAAAAGCTGAACATTAATTTTGAGAATCCTGTGCCCCAAGTCTCTGGTGCATGACCCAAGCATCCAAATCCCACTGCAGCACTTTTGTCTTTGATTTGTTGCTGTCTCATGTGGACATTGCTGATTTAGGGAATAATTATATGCTATAAGGGTAACTGATAATTAGGGATTCGTGAAGATCTCTGAAAGTTCTCAAAAATCACAAAG